GGAAGAACCTCTAAAAGTTCAAACCACAAAGCAGCCTGTGCATTAAGCTGATCTTATTTCAGCTGTTGTGCTGTTTGCATGATGTGCCGTGCCTCACCGCGACGTGACGCTGCTGGAGGTTTACGCTTCTTTAAACTCTGCGTACCTCAAGATGACAACATTATGACCTCCTGGTCTGACTCACTGTTTTATACGTAAGGAATAAGTGTTGTGTTCATCTGCTTAGCTCGTTCACACAAAGCAGAAGAATCACCAGTCAGAAGACTCTGTTTTGTGACTTTTGCTGTAAGGGAAAGTCACGAATCACCCCCGAGAGCCCCTGAACATACTTATACTTCTTTTAATAGTTAAAAAAAAAAAGCATTTGTAGAAGAACTCTGTATCTCATTATTTACATTAATAAAATAGTTTTTATTTATTTTTAAAAAAGTTAAAAAAATATATAAAATATATTAAAATATATTATTTTCTTTTTATGTATTTTATTTATTTGCTTTATTTATTTGAAAATTACTGTGAAAAATCACTGTGAAAAGAGCTATGAAAAAAAATCACTGTAATGCCACTTAGTTGATGATATGTGCAGCTGACTATCCATGCTGCTGATCTCATGCTGCTGATTATTTCACATTGCTGTGTTCATTCGTCCTCATCTGCTCACACAGACTCATGTTCGTGCTGCTGTTGTTTTTGTACTATTCATGCTTAGTGTATTCTAAGTTTTGTGTATTCTTAGTTTAGTGACTGTAGTATATTCTTAGTTCATTTCTCAGATCTTACTATTGTTTTTCTTCACAATTTGTATTTTTGTTGGATGTAACTGGGACCCTATGTACATAGTTTTGTTCCATCTCATGTACCACATGTGATGTGAATGACTAAAAATCCCTGAATCCTTTAATGCATGTTTAAATAGATTACATTGAATTAAATATGTCCCTAAAAATAACTAAAATTAAATTCAGGGGTTCAAAGTTCAACTTTTCCATGCACTAAATGTCTTTTTTTTTTACTTGATCGACAAGAATATGCAGCAAAAGACCCAAACCCTAATGAATAAACAAACAAACAAACAAATTATTCTTTTCCTGTTTTTCTGTGAAGTAAAATGCTATAAAAATCAGATTATGAATATTGCATGAATGAACTCCACTGTGAAATCCTTCAGAATAAATATAGAAACGAAACGGTGGAGTCTACAAATAAAGGGAGAGCAGTGGTTTTCTGGGAGCCATCATCCAACAGGTTCTGTAAGAGTTTTAATGAGCGCAAACTAAAGATCTGATGAGTTATTTCATAATATCTAGTTTTACAAAAGTGACTGAAAGGCTACAAAGATAAACTCTTGATATGAGATTCATCACAGCTAAGGGAAAGTACCAAAAGTCAGATGGGTTCATGTTTGATTTGACATATTTCTCAAACTATATATGAGCATCAGCACAAAACCTTCCATATGCCTAATGTTCTTTGTTGTTGTTGTTGTTGTTTTGATAAAGCATTTAAATAAATATTTGAAATAAGTCTTCTAAAGGTGACATCTACATTTCCACCACCACCTGTCACTTTGGATAAATGATGTACCAATAGAGATAAAAAAAAAATGCAATATTTAACGTTTTATTATACGTTTTGGTAGATTCTTTTTTATATTTTGCTTTTCTTGAGTAATTGTTTTAGATTAAAGATTGAGATCTGAATAGTTGTATAACATGGACAGCACGAGTAAATAAAGTCAGGGCCACAAAGTTTCTGAGTTGTGCTTAATATACAGTATAACTTTTTTGTTTTTTTTACAAAAGTTTGCATGAGCAGTCACAGACAAGCATTTATTTAATACTATTTTATAATATTGTATAATATTTTAATTGTTTGCCTAATAATTTCTACTCTAGAAGCATGTTTGTTTTAAATGCACTATTCATAAAGTCTAAACTGTTCAAATGTATTCACATAGTGGAATTACAAACAGCTATTATCTTGCTTAAAGCGAAAAATAGTTTCTTGGGGGAAAACATTCAAAAGCTTTTCTCAAAACAGGAAGGACTTTATAATTTAAGGGCAAAAGGTGAATTTAAAACTTTAAAATTCAGAACCACGATCAAAAGCTTTTGTATATCAGTGCGTGGGGTGAAGCTGTGGAATGGTTTAAGCAGAGAAATCAAGCAATGTCTAAACATTAAACTGTTTAAAATGTCATTTAAGAAGATGGTCACCAATATGGGAAATAATGACTGTTATTACTGCTGTTGTCAATGTTAACATTTAATTAACTTATCCAATTATTGCTGCATTATGGTATATTGATCTAGCAAGAATTTTAACATGTAAAAAAAATATTGATGCTTTATCATAATGGCATTACCAATTATAGATATGGATATATAAACTAAAAAAATATATAATAACCAAGTTACCATGAATAGTAAATTACTGGTTGATGCTATATACAGTATGTAAGAGGGGTGGGTGTAACAATAAGTTTATACTTCTACCCACTCCTTTGAACGTGTAAAAATACTTCACAACTGTTCCTTTTTTTCCTGCTTGCTTTGTTTTAAATTTATTTTCTTTTAATATAACTTTGTTTATTCTTTTATTATACTACGTTCAGTAAAGTTAAACTCAAATTCAAATGTAGAGCTGCTATAGGAGCATAATCAAAAATTCACAACAGATTTTCAAGGTTCTTTATTGTCACTCGCATCCCATGTGGTGCATGAGGTGGAATGAAATTGTTTACTCAATGTCCTAGTTACACCCAAAAATAGCAATATCATAAACTTTAAAAAAGAGACAGTATGCAAGGATCTAAGATACACGCTAAACAATAATAAATAATATAATATGGTGTATTAAACAGCAGCCTGAACATGAGTCTGTTGTGAGCAGATGGGTATGAATATAGCAGCTTATGGGTAAGAAATCAGCAACATGGATAATCAGCAGCACAGATAAAGTGTAAAATCTCCAATTAACGTGGCATTTTTCTGGTTAGAGATTTATGAGTCTAACAGCTTCGGGGTAGAAACTGTAAGATTTTGCAATGAATCATAATTATTTATTACATTAGTATTGAAAAACATCTGTTTTATTCTATTACTCTACTGTGCTTTAGCTATGTAAAATGTTATAATAAACAATTTTATTCTGTTGCATCACATTCATCTGTAATGTAATAATCAATGTTTTCTAAAACTTTAATACTTATGTCCATTGTAATGTATTTTTCCTATATTGTAATATCCTTTTGTATCACATAAAATCACTCTATTTTAGCATATAACTTTATTTTATAGACATTGACACATTTTTATTAGTTTGTAAGCCTCGGTGCAGTGCATCTGTAAGTAACTTGTAGTTTTTTTTTTATAGGGACTGCTTCATTTAGCCTCTATGAAGACATCCTGGGCTCATATAGCTGTTTCAGAGCACTCAGCAGAAAAGAAATAAGAAGGAGGAGGTAGAGAAGCAACGACTATAGCCTATTTCAAATAACCCCATTCATCATAGCGCACGCATACCTTCAGTCACACACACAGCCCTGTGATTTACAGAGCCTGGTTGTAATTGGTAAATACACCTCAGCTCTCCAGTTGTGATTGGCCAGGCAGCTTTCACTGCGAGGCCTGAAGATGAGCTGACCATCTGGCCTGCTCCTCTCTCCAGAGCAGGATGCTTGCTGAGCCTGGAGGAGGGCCCAGATAACTGTAGAGCAAAGTGAAGCACCATCTGTACAGTCTGTACAATAATGGGTTAAAGGTTAGGAATCAGGAACCTATTTCAAACCAGAATAAGTTAAGTGCAGCGCTGCTGTCAGCAAGGAGGGAGCGGAGAACCATTCTTTTCTACAACCGTTTCACACATTTACCGAACATTTCATGGCTTATTGGTTCAACAGGAATGTTTTATCGCTCAAAGTAATCACTGGATGTACAGCTACACCTGATTTACTGATGGAGATACCCCAATTCAAGATGGCTGCCGCAGCTTATTGACATTCACCCATGCAAACATAGTTATAAATTAGTCAGTTTTATAGATATCATAGTAACATTTGGTGTGGTAGTAGCTGAGAGTGAAATCAAAATATACCCAGAGACCAAACATTGTGCAATATTGCTGCGGACAACTTTGCCAAACACGTTTATCTGTTGGGAAAATATCCCATGAACCACTAAATGAACATTAATGCAATAATCACTGGATGTACATTTACACCTGATAACTTGTGAGGTTATCGCAATTCAAGATGGCTGCCACAGCTGATCAACACTAGCCAACAAAGAACAATACAACTTATAGGTACTCATCTCAATTTTGGTTTGGTAGTTGCTGAGTCTGATCCCCAACACATGCTCCGAGCACATCGCAAGCAAAACATATTAAATAAGGTTTGACCAGAAAGGCTCTAGCTGTCATTCCTCTGCATAAAATTATTTAAATTTCAAACTTTGGCATGAAAAGAGGCAAGTATTCCTTGAAGGAACGATAGGCCTTTAATTTCCAGGAACATTGCTTCACTAAATCATTGTTGCATTCAAACATTAGTAATGCTAATGTTCAAACTCATAACTTGCACAAAATAAAAACACATCTCCCAGATTTAACTGAAAGACATTTAAAAAAAAAAAACACTTTTCTAAGAATAGGTCCAAGATCTTGGTGATCTGATGTGACAGATCAATAAGTGATTCATTGGACAGATCTATTTTTCCTCTCATATGAAACTTGAGTTTTAGGAGCTCTTCTGCCTGGAAGCCATCCTGGGGTCTGATGGCACACATCCTGCAAATGGTGCGTAAATCACAGCTGTGGACAACACCTACAGAGCCCTGATCTCCACATGCACTGCGTTGATGTAATCGCCAACACCGGGAAATTATGTAACAGCAGGAGGGAGAAAGAAAGCAAAAAAAGCAAGCAGGATGGCAGGAGGATCTCTCCCCAAACTTGTCTCCCATCAGAACCCGGCTGCGTTTTCAGTCTGGGCTACTTACGTGTACTGCTGGGGGAATGTGAGACCCTCGGCTCCAGGCCACGACGCGCTGAAAATCAGGAGGATGTGGAGAGATATTAAGCTGAAGAGGCTGCGAGATCTTCTCCCTTTCGCCATTTTCCATTAAAAGCAATCCGGTCTGTGGCTTTTCGGTGCGTAAACGCAGCGCCCCCCGAGTGTCTCCCGGTTTTTAATTTTATTTGAGTTATTGTATATATATATAAATAAAATTGCAGCGAGCAAGTGTAAAGGAGGACCGGGAATCAGTTTCCACACCACTTCATATCGGTTTCAGCTCTCAAGTGAAGGCGGAGGAGGCAGGAATCCGCCGTGGAGGCATCACGGACGGTGGGAGATGCACTAATGCAGCTGCCAAGACACTGCAGAGTCTCCCCTCCTGTTTCCACACACACACACACACGCACACACACACACACACACCACCACCATCAGAATCACACAGGCAAGCGCGTTCTCGACAAGCTCTCTCTCTCTCTCATCAGCAGCCAGGCGCGTTCACGCTCACCAGGCAACAGAGGAGCAGAGAAACCATCCAGTTTGTCTTTATGTATCATTTCCGTACGTTTCTATACAACATTTAGGATCGATTAAAGGTTTTGTGATTGGGAAAAAATAAGTTTTTACTCCTTATTTCAGCAAGCAGCTCAGCCTCAGAAGTTTCCTTTTAGATACAAAGATGTGTCACTATGATGAAGGATGTTCTAGATTAGAAGGATAACTGAAGAGACTAAGGCTTTTACTGTCCCTATCCAGTGTCATAGCAGCAGCAAAAAAAAAAAAAAAAAAGTGTGGTAAAAACACTACAAACAAAAATAGCACACAATACTTAATCACATAAAGTGAATACTATAATATAATGGAAAAAATAATACAATACGCCAAATGACTATAAAACATTCTTCAAAATAAAATGGAAGCACATTTGTGCCACTCTAAAAAAAATCTGGGTCATACTTACAGGAAACGTTCTCAAATTAATGATTTATCTTCACAAAATTAAGACTGAGCATCTTGCGAAATACTAAATCAAATGTAAAACCAGTTATTTCAAAATTAAGACCCGACACATAAACTGTACATGATAATATTTGTTAATTCTAACAATACTACCTCAATGAATAAGTCTATCATGTGGTATTTCAAATTTGTTAGACACGATCTCATAAGTATGAAAATGTGACTTAAAATGATGACCTGGCATGTCATAATTATCACTTACATATTGTTTGAATATACTGCAATGAAATAGAATAAATCATTATTTTGAGATAGTATCTATATATGACAGGGGGGTTTTATTCAAAGAGGTGGAAATGGGTTTCTATACAAATTTTAAAACAAAATCATAAATGATCTAATGACTGAGGGCAACAAAGCAGCAAAGTATAAACAGACAGGTTGAAATATAAAATTGGTGACTACAAATTGAAAAAAATAAAACTCCACATTTGTGTTGCTAGATTATTTTTGAAATGCAGCTCTGTTAGGTCGTCTGTTGGGAGGTGTGTGGTTACAGTCTGACAACTGCTGGGAGAAACAACCTGCTGAATCTCTCCGTGCTGCATTTGAATGCAGCAACTGTCACCGAATGAGCTTTCCAGTGCCAACACAGTGCAATTTTTAAATAAACCTTTTTTTTTTTTTTTTTTTGCCACCCATCAGAGATATAAAAATCATTACTTATAAGAGGAATTTACTTAGGACTGCCTGTCAACAAAATCTGATTTAATATTTGCTTGGATACAAGTATTTTTAATAGTTTATTTTAATCAGGTTAAATAATAAAATAAAGTTTTAACGAGCCAATCTCTAACCCAAGCAAAGTCAAAACTAAAGTGAGAAGTTGCAAATTTGTGATATCTGTTGCAATGTTCTGTGTGATAAAACTGCACTTTTTTATTTTTTTTGTGATCAGCCTAAGGCACACCTGTGCAATAATCATGTTGTCTAATCAACATCTGGATATGCCGCACCTGTGAGGATGTGGACATACGGCTGTATTATCTTGGCAAATACGAAGTGGTCACTAACACATATCTGAACAAATTTGAGAACAATAGTTCAGAGAAAAAGGCATTTTGTGCAAATAGTCGTAGATTTTTCTAAGATCTTTCCATTTTTAGATCTGCCAGGTTAGAAAAATGGGTGCAAAATGAAAAATAGTGCGTTTATATTTTTGTAAGTTCATGCAAACAGTATTTCATAAACCCTTATGTTGCATTCAGTTTTGTATCACATGATTATTTACATGGTGATTATATGTTAGCACAAGCCAGGCTGCAGCACGTTTCATGCAGCACGGGCCACTTCAGGCAGGGGTATCGACAAATTTCAGCTGGAGTAATCGTGTAATGTGAAACTGACAGTGATGTAAGTTTAATAAAACTCTGTTTGAATGAAACACTGTAGCTATTCTGTTTGACCTTGGACCTGCTTAGACTAGATGTTAGCTCAACATGGTCAGAATTAAACTATTTCATCATTCAAGGAGCTATTTACAACATTAAATTATGTATCCAACATTACTCTCCTTGTTAAATTTACAAAGAATAAGCATTAACTAGCACAAGTCCATCATAGTTTTGAGACATTAAAACATTGGAGTGCAGAAGCCCATCTTTGGTAAGTGCACACATTATGAAACAGTCTCACTCATGCTTCAGTCACCAGGGCCCCATTATCCTACAACCCAGCCAAAGATGCTTATGGCAATATTCTCTGAGGTCCAAGAGAGGAACTGTGTGACTTCCTCTAAATCTGCAGTCCATCCAATGAGATTCCTATCAAAATGCACCCATCATGGAGATTTAAAAAAAACAAAAAAAACTGCAATAAATGTGTGAATAAGTTCAGCTAAGTGGAGTTAAAACATTGAAGACCATCCTCAGTTGAAATGGCCAAGCTGTCGATTTGTATTCTATTTCTTACACACAATGAAAGTGTTTGGTGTCAGTCCAAAAACAATGTTTCTATTTCATCGGGCTGTGCTGAAGAACATTATCAGTTACAAGATGTCAGCTTGGTACAGAAATGTCTCTGCATGAGGAAACAAAATCCAAGCTGAAACTGCTGCATCTGATAAAGTGTGTCATGATGAAGGTCATGGAGAAGATTAAAAGTTTCTCTCTTCAGAGCATATACAGTAGTTTACAGGCTGTACTCAGACAGACACCAACTCGTCATACAGCTTTTATTTGGAATAGTACAGAGTCCCAAAATACCGACAGAATCATAAAAAAAAAATAATCAGCTACAACTTCTATCAAATTTTCCACCAACGTCTTCAGAGCCATATGTCTCAGGACTTCAGCAGGAATTGTGCAGGTTCTGTCATCGTGTTTCATCTTTTTATTTTCTAATAAGTTTTCTTCAATGAACCATACTGCAGGATTATTTGTATATGATTCTGTATGATCCTGTATGTGATTTGTACATGGTCGCATCAGTTCTTCTCATACTGGACATTTCATTGCATTGTTGACCTTGTGTTAACCTGCACATGCAAAATAAACAATAAAATAAACACATTGTATTGTTGTGTAAAAATGTACTTTTATCTACCGTTCTTTTTGTTGCTGTGAATGTTCTCAGGTTTAAACTCTATCTTCGCTCCTCTCCCTCTGTATTCTTCTTGGAACATTTTAAAACAAATCGTTGCTCCAGCTTATATTCCGTGCACCTGCCTACATGTAGGCTGTCAGATTACACAAACCAAACACATTTGGTGACAAAATAGATACAATTTATTTTTTAGCCAATTCAGGTCAGCAGTTTTTTAATCTTGCCACATCTCTAATATTGTTTATATGTTTGTCAGAAAGTCACAAATACAAATCTCTACAGTTAAGGTTTTTATTTGATCTTGAGCCTTCGCAGGATCTTTTTATTTCATCTAAATTCACTTTTTAGTGATGATATGGACATCTAGGACAGAAAACAGTAAATGTCTAACTAATTCAATTATAAAAATAATAACAAATCAAAATATAAAAAAACTCAATTATAAAATGTTATTGTTTTCAGGACACATAAGGATTATGGCTGAGTTAACATTGTTTATCAACAGTAAAACATAACATAAAACCTGATTTTCAGTCAACAAATCAAGAAAAAAAATAATTCATAAAGAATCTAAAAAAGTTCAATCTGGTTCTCTGGACAGGATTGTCCAGAGGACCAGATTGAACTTTTTTAGATTTTTCTACCTGGATTATTGAGCATGCATCAGTAAATTCATAAATAATTTAAAACAATAAGGAATAAATAATCTGAGACTTTCAGTTCAAACAACAAATATTGTACCAAAGTTCATGCTCAATAATCCAGGTATAAAATCCAACAATGTTTAGTCAGGTCATCTGGACTGTTTCTTTTTTGAAACCTTGTAAACACTGAAAACATTGTAAACACTGAAACATTGTAAACACTGAAAACATTGTAAA